TTTCATTACTACATGGTCGTTACTACTATCAATAAAATTCCCAGTTCTGTACTTAAAGACCTCATTCAGGATATGAATTCCTAGTGTATATACAGGACCCCTTGCCAGTGTGGTTTAATTTACATTGATCAAGCTAAGACAGCCTTAAAATTTCGCGTTAAAGAACATGAGGCATATGTTAGGAAAAAGGAAACACAGAAATCCTCTGTTGTCCAGCACTTTTGGTCCGAAAGTTACACTTTCCATTTTTCTGTAGCCAAAATTATTTCGCTGGGGAATTAGATTTTCCAGAGGCGTTTCACAATAAAAAAATCTTTCTGTTCTAGTCAACGACCCTAATTCCAATCCATCTTTGCCTTCAGCAGTTAAGTAAATTATGTTTTAGATTTCTTATTTCATCAATAGATGGCGCCAGCAGCTTAACTTCTGTCCAGCCATTCTTATCTTATCACCATACCTTATTTCTTTCATTTCCACTAAGGCAGCTGAGGAGAATGGTTCTGTAGTTAAACCATCGAAACTAGTCCTGCAAAATTTACAAATATTATGCTGATTCTTGTTGTTTGGCTTCTCCAATAATCATTATACGGCGTGTTATTTTAACCTAACCTAAATTGCATAGTACTGTACTCATACTTTCCCAATTCGGTGAATGCTTTCTTTATTCACCGCATTGAGAGAATAAGGATTGATGAAACGAGAATAATTGCCCCCTAACTAAAAAATTTGAAAGTTCACAAATACCGATTTGAGCTGTATAATAAAAGGAGAATATTACGAAAAAGTGGGAAAATATTCAGGAAGAAGAGGGGGGAATATGGCCTGGAAACGATGAAATCATGAAAAATATAATTTCGCATGTAGCCGTCAATTTTCTTCGTTTTTAATCTCTAAATCAGAAATCGATGTTTTCTAAAGACTTCGTTTGATTACGATTATTATCACAATTTTTATTAGCTATCAAAAGAAAACGTGTGCGTGGAATGTTGCTTTTCTTTTATACTCCAAAAGATTCCAAAATATTGTTCCAAGTCTTTTAGAAGTTAAGTGATAAGAATTTGTAACATTCAATCAAATTCAGATCCATTTTTAAAGAAAATTGTTTTAACTTCTTCTAAGTTTACTTCTAAGTGCATATCTGAAAATTCTAGCTGTTTAGATTTTATTTCAGAAAGTTTTTATTAGGTTTCTGAATTTGCTGAATGGTTTATCTGTTGCCATACTTGTTGTCGAAGCAATTATTATAAAATGGATGGTTTTGCAAATAAATATTTCTAATAATAACTTACTTTTAGGCAATTCCCTTGCATCATAAACCTAATACAATTGTGAAAATTATATTTTTATTATTTATTCAACTCTCTCTTTGCTAAGTTCACGTTGAAACTATAACACGAGCTTCGGGATTTCAACGTCAGATTTGCTCATGATTGCCTTTGAGGCCTAAACATATTTATAACATACTTTTTCCCTCCTTTCCGCATGCCTTCGTGGTGTAATTGGAAGCACACTCGACGCGCATATTCGAGAGGTCCAAGATTCGGTTCCCGGTAATGGCACTTCCTTTTTCACTTCTCCTGCTTCAAAAATATCCTAATGGCTCTGCAGTGGAGCCCGAACTAAAAGATGGTGTACAATAATTCGTCACCACCAGGATTCGGCGAGTGGGTTCCCCATCCCCACTCGCCGAATCTTGGTGGTGACGAATACAAAAATACCTTATACCTTTTAACGGGTGAGTGGGTTCCCCATCCCCACTCTCCCGTTAAAAGTGAAGATATATAAGGTATTTTCTCTGTCCTTTCCGCATGCCTTCGTGGTGTAACTAGATGTACACTCAGCGCGTATTCGAAAGGTTCACGGTCCACGGTTCGAGTCCCGGCGAGGGCAGAGCACATTTTTCGAGTCTCCTGTTTTAAAAAAAAATCCTAATGACTCTGCTTATTAACATATTTAACTGAAAAATAAAGTTTCATAAGTGATTTTATCCCTATCATTAAATGGATAAATACAATCTTAAAAGTCTTGCGATTTATGCTTAAAAAGAATTAGAGAAGCTATTTTAGAATTTTGCTTTGATAATTTTTATAGTTAAGTAATTTTAATGGTTTTGCTAATACGTTAGACTTTTCCTTTTATATTCCTGCTTATTGTTGTTTATGCCATCTGTTCTTTCCAAAAATATATGTAGATGAAGGAAATAAAAAATAGTCTCACAGTCACATTTACCTGGAATAAAAAACTTTTAGAAGATGGTGAGGATTTTCCCCTTGCTCACCAAGAGGGGGGAAATTCCCATTTGTCTACCACACGTTTTGCCTTAAACAGAATCTCAAGTGAAGGATACACCTAATCAAATGATGCTAAAATTCAAAGGCGTTCATCCTTTTGGCTGCTTCTTCGAAACAAAAACCAAAGCATTAACTACTTTTATTGTTTAATTGTTTACTTTAATGTGCTTCTGTTTCAGGATTTATATATATATAGGATGTGTGTGTAATTGTGTTATAAGTAAAAATTCATTAATGGTTTTTTATGTTAGTTGTAAACTATAAGTAATCGGAACAAATCTGCTGAGCAGGTATATCAAATTGAAACCTTTCACTCTGAATTAGTTTGTTCAAGGTATCATTTATAATGGTATTCTCAATCTTCAGTGATTTTTTTATACATGAATAGAAGAAAATTTAAAGTAGATAAATTGAAATCAGAAATTTCTTTTTAAAATATTTTTTTTTATTCTTTCTTAAACTTTGAGCTATATAATTTATTAAATCATTATTTCGCCTTAATACATTTATAGGCAAATTAAGTGTTTAAGTCAGGAAAGTTTTGCTCGATTTTCATAAAATTTGAGAGTTCCAAAATAGAAAATTTATTTTTTTCTCCTTTTTCGACGAATATTGAATTAATGTAGGATTTACAAAATTAAGATGATATATATAAAAACTAAAAAATAATAAAAACTATGAAATAAACAATCTAAAAATGCAATTAACCCTTTTCCCTTTATCATAATTATATAATAGTAAAGTAAATGGGGTCAATAAAAAGATGAGAAATTTGTGAAAAGATTTGGGGATCCCTGGGTTAGCGTATCTAACTAGGAATTGGATTGGTTTGATTTATTTGATTACGGCAAAGTAAACTAGCGCTATCTGCCTAAGAGAAAGGATGCCTTAAATCACAAAAATGCTCATGGAGATAGCCCGTTCACCTGGAATCGAACCTAAGTCGGAACTACTACTGTTTAATGACTTAAACGGTTCGGCCGCTGGTGGACATTAGGAACTGGAAGACCTGCGGTTCAATTTCTGGAGGAAGCATCTTTATTTTTATTTTTTATCTCTCCGAAATTTTAATAGCCTCAATACTCTGACCATGCATCTCCAAAGACTAGATCATTTACCATAGGAAGAGATGTATTTGAGTATAAATTTCAAAGGTGAAAATGATGATGAGTATGATTTTCATGAATAAAAAGTATTTTTTTAGTAATTAAATAATGAATCTGATGATAGTGACATTATTTCTCCCCCCCCCCCAGAAAGAAAGGAGGAAGGCAAAACAAGTGCAATAATCAGGAAATCACACGAACAGAAAGACAAATTTTTCTTTATGAAAAGAAAACAAATTAGTGGTAGATTTTCGCTAATATTATGCTTTATGCAGTTAAAATGTTTCATTCAACAATTCAAAACTAATCATTCAATAAGAAATTATTAAAAGCGTTTATAAAGTACGCTTTTCTTTGAAATGGTTACTATAATTAATGAGTTAAAAAGCAAAAAATTGTTTATCATGTTTGATGGAAACGAGAGATTGAATAATTGTCTTTACAAAATTCATCTACAGTTTTATATCACGAACCATAAAAATGTGGAGAGACCTTTACAGTGATACACAAACAGTTACTTACTTCAATTATATTTCACAACTGACTTTATATGCTCTGAACGTTTCAAATGTAATTTCATCAAGACTGACCCATTAAAATTCTTTGCATTCAGTTGATTTAAAAATTTCCCGACATAACTGAATTTGGGTGACTATATTTATTATGAAATGTATTAAATAACTTTTAAGGATTTGCGCCAAAGGGGTATATTGAAAATACATTAACTTAACCAAACATTAACTTAAGCTTAATTTTGAACGATAATTTTGATAAATTTAAATTCTTATTGAAAAAAAAAACGTTTAATTTAGAAAAATTGAAAAAACTGGGAGTTTAAAATTTGAAAAGATAATGGCTTACATATTTAGTAACGCAATTTAGTCATCAGATTTCGTTATTCAGGAACCTACGCTTTCTTTTCGTAATAGTAAATTGTAGATTATTTTTGTGATGAGAATGTGCTTTTGTTTGTATTACACTACATGAAAAAAGATTTTTCCCTTTTAATTCATTCATAATTTTTTCTGTTTTAAAAAAGTGTAAATCTTTACTTGTCTATTTCGTTTTTCACCTGTTGATATCAGGTAGAAGTTATCAATTATTCAATTAAGAAATTATTTTTCAGCAATTTTTATTCCAATAAATATATCATTATATAGCATTTTAGGGTAGATCTGTAATTTCTAACTTTTCTATAATATGTACGTATATTGTCTAAGATTTAAAAAAAAGAAGAAAAATAGAAATCCATGTATTTGGGGCATTGCTCACACATTCTGTCCACTTTGCTATTGAATTACTGGTACGCAGTCAGTTATAATAAAAGCTAGCCTTTTTAAAATATAAGTGAAAAGTTTAAAATGCTTTCATGAAAGTTTTACATTATAAACACTATAACAACGTTATAATAATATCGCCTTTTAACTCCAATTTAAATGAATCCTTTACTGCCTGGGATTAAATAAAAAATCAAAAACGACTGAGTTGCTGCAAAACTGAGCCGAGAATCAACTCGAGCGCAAAGGGTTAAAGCATGAAACAATATTCGCCTCCGCCGAGAAATGAACGTAACACTTTCGTCTCCAAAACCCACGGAACTACTTTTCGGTGGAAGGACAACAATTCCTCTTCATCATACCCTTAACTGATTCTCGAAGTTCATTTCGCCCTTTCAGCTTGCTTTGGGAAGGTGCACAGTCTTAGCGTCTGTTATCGAGTTGTATCATCTTTCAAACTGATTAATCGCGGACGAAGCGAACGTTGCTTTCTGTAAGTAGTAACACAGTAAAGTATAATTAACCCATCTATGAGTTGAGTCTGCGACAAATTTTTAAGGACATTTTCGAGTTGGTGCCTGCCATAGTATTCCAAACATTTTGCAGTCCTGCATTTCTGAAGTGCGATTTCTTGTTTTCCGATATTTTGGAAGTCTGACTATCGCGATTTGACTATTCAGTATTTTTTCGAAGGTTGTACTTCAAAATCTTTATTTTCAGCTTATCTAGTATGGCGAGTTCATTCGTAGCGAGAAATACTCAGGGAAAAAAATGTCCAGCCACGAAGCTTGCTGAAAAAATTGAACTTTACATTAAAAAGTTAAAATCGATGGAGAAGCAATTGGAGGTACTTTGTCAGAGTGAAAATAAACGAACAATTCCAGTCACATTTTGTGAAGTGTCTGGTGTTCATATGCCTGTGACTGCGTCCATTAAAGTTAAAGTGAACTACAGTAAAATCTTGTTTCGCTGTTTACTTGAAGGACTTGAGTATCATGATGTACCTGATATAAGCACTGATCGCCTTATGAAGATAGGTTTGCTACTCCAGAAGCGGGCACGGCGAGCTAGAGCTCTAACTAGACAAATTCATAGCCAGATTGATAGGCAAAATTCATAAGCATCCATGATTTCATCCGGGTTTCCTTCCAGTATGTTTCCTTTTTTTCCCCCGTAATTGCCAATTTTTTTACATTGATATTAAAGTTTATTACTTTATTTTGGAAGCAATACTATGATAAGAAACTGAGAAATTTGTTTTATTTGTGAATAAAGGGTATTTAAAATGTTTATTAATATTTTGTACTATTTTTCTTCAGTTTAACATTATTTTTAGATTGTCTCTCCTTGAGGAAATTAAGTTTGCTGCTTTATTTTAATGGTTAACAAAGGACATTTTTGAAGAACACAGCATCATTTTTATAATGTAGAATTTATGTATTGTAATTAAGCTGTCTCATAATTTTATATCAGTTCAACTTCTTACTTGTTTCGGAGAAAATAATTAATCTTTTATTAAAAAATACAGACGTTATATCCAAATCTAACTTCTATTTTATTTTGTATGTGCTAAATGCAGTATTACATTCTTAAATTAAAATCACGAGCAAAATGTTTAACTTAAAAAAATATCGCATATTAAATATTGTTCCTAAATGTTGAATAATAGCTCTTCCGTTGTTGTTTTAATACGTTTTGCAACTGAAAATATGACTAACTAGTTTTGCTACACAAACAGAACTTTGTTTAAGCTGCCTGTTGCTAATTCAGCTTGGATTTATATTTTGTTTCTCTTAACTCTTTATTTCTGTTTTATTATCTTATATCTTAGTTTTAAGCGTTTCCATATGATATTTTTTAGTATTTATGAAGCCTAGATTATATTTTTAAAAAAGAAATTTTAGTTTTGGTGTCAATAAATTAATGAATTTTTGAAATTTTTATAACTTTTATTCTATTTGGGAAAAATGCTTTAAACAATTTGTATGATTGAACAATTTCTATAATTACTGTATTTCGTACTTATTTTCTTTAGTTGGGCCTAATTTTCCGTTTGTTATCTTTCTAAAATATTTGATCTTATTTCTTATTAGCACTTCAGTTTTCATCACTGTCAACAATATTAATATGGTTCATAATATAATTATTTATGGACGTAATTTTTAATGAGCAATGATAACTTTTTGGTTAGTTTTATGCTTCTTTTCCTCAGCCTGGATCCACCCTGACCCTTTTTTCCGTAACACACGGCAGCATAATTTTGCTACCTCAGTTTTCATCATCATCAAAAATGTAAATTTTCCATTTTAATATTTTTATGAACATTATGCGATTTTCATGCACTTAGCTGCTGGTGAATTACAATAATGTGTGTTAAGTTTGTGTTTATTTTCTTCAGGCTGGTTTGGCTTTAACTCTGCTTTTGTCTAAGATACTGCAATGAACTGCGATTATCTCAATTTTTATCATTATCGAAAATATAGCTTTCGATTTTTAATGTTAAGAAAACACCATATTTATTAAATTGTAGACTGTTACTGGTTTTAAGGTCATTGATTGATTACATATTGTTATTAATAACTGCTTATTTTTTAAATGATTAATGAACAAACATTTTGCTTAGACATGACTGTTTAAAATATTTCATAATCATTTTCTGGATTGGTATAGATTTTTCCTTTGAAATGTTTCGTGGCATTACTATTATTATCTTAATTTGAATCATTAAAAAAAGTTATTTTTTTTATAAAGGACATTGAAATTTTTGCAATTATGTTGTCATTAATGAATTATAAGATTTCATCCAATTTTGTGCATAGTGAGAAAATAGAACATTAATGCTATTTTGTGTAAGATATGTTTCTCAACCATGCTTGATAAGTACTTAATTTTCTGTAATGATGTTTTTGAAGTATGTTGTTATTATCTGTATGGAAAAACATATTATAAGTATTTGTGCTTTGATACCTTTGAATTTATTGAATCTTTTTTAAAATATAGGTTTTAGCTGATGTTGTTCATAAATATTGCAGTTTTCTAAGACACTAATGCTCTATATTCGAAACTAGACTAAAATAATTTGAATAATTTGTCTGCATGTTTGATCAACGTAACCTAAACTTCACTTTTCATTGAATTAGCTTAAAGTGCACCAGTATCTTAATCATTAACAAAGATAATTTGGGGTGGGTGTTTTAGAATTTTTTTTTTTTTTTTTTTTTTTTTTTTTTTGAGAAATTGATTTTACTATTCTATATTTCCAAATTCCCCAGAATTTCCATATTTATTTTTTTTTCAAGAACAGAAAGCTTTTTTTCATTTGGTTTTGTGTTATTTTATCTAAAGATCTCAATATTTTTTCTTTTCAAAAACGTGTACTGGTGTTTTCTTTATTTTCATCGATATACTTAACTCATAAATTCCCTTGTCCTAAAATGAGTTACATTATTTTAACGCAAAAATTTCACTTGTTTTAGTTTCAAAATTTTTAAAAATTGATTGAATGATTTTTTCCAGGAGAGAAATTTTTAAAATTCTAAATTCTACAGATACCTTTTAGTTTATCTTAAATGACGTTTTATTGTTTAAAACTAATTCAGTGCAACATACGTTATCATCCTTTGGTAAACATAATTACTGGTTTTATTTTAGCACTTTCTAACGTTATGAGAGATATTAGTTGCTGTTCTTTTGATTCTTCAATTAAAACAATTAGTTATAAAACCATTTGAAAATTTATTATAAGGAAAGATTTATGTTCGTATTCACTATCTGTGAAACTCCTTGAATCATTTTTAAACATGCAGATTTAGACTAAAATCATTTGTGTAATTTGTCTACATATTTATTCAGTGCAATTTGAAATTCGTTTTGTTTCTTCCTTGAGCTATATTGTTAATAACTTAATAATTATCAAATTTTCGGTGTTTTGTATTTTAGTGCTTTTGAAAAAGGTATGCTCATTATATTTGAAAAAGGAAGTGACTTGAGATATTACATTATATTTTTGAAATTTTATAGCTATTCGTTGATTTATTTTTGATCAGAAATGAAAATCATTTCAGTTGATTTCTTTTCTGCATCAAACAACATCAGTATTCCTTTTTCCCCCCCAAACAATCTATTTTAGTGCCATGTCCGTAATTTTCACTATTAGTTGAAATACAATCTAAATAGATGCATTTGATTGATATTTTAAAATGTTAAATATTTTTTAAAGTTGATTTTTAATAAATTTAAAATTTTTTAGAAACTGATTGACTAATTTTTCAAGGGTCAAATTTTAAGCATGTTATCTAACTATAAAACTGCATTTTGTTCCTAAATGGTATTTTATTGTTTTAATGTATTTAGATGCAACAAGTGTTGTTACGCATTAAACAGCACATTATCTGGCTTTTTGTTTAGTAATTTTTAAGAGATGTGACTGAGTTATCACTTGTTCTGATTGTTTTGTTAAGAATAATTTATAGCTTATGGAAAAAAGTATAAGTAATCTGTATGCATTTTCTTTATAATTATATGTTGCTAAATATGAACATTTGCTCATTTGTTTTGCCTTTTAAAAATGTTTTTATTTGTTTCTGTGAAACAGATTAAGTCAATTTCAGTATTTTAATATATGAGTGAAGTGCATAGAATATATTTTTCTCGCACACCTGTTAGTTTTATTGTATTATAAGTATTGTAATTGGAATAAAGTTTCCTTTGGTAATTGTAAAACAAATTTATTTAAATTAGTTTTCTTGACATTATAATAATTAATTAATCGAACTTTAAGCACGTACAATGTATAATTTCATATTTTGTGTTGCAATTTTTTTTTTGGAAAGGAAGAAAAAGTTAGAACTGTTAATATAACGCTTTTTCCTGTAAATTGTTCCTGTAAATTGTACTGAAACTAATCTAATTGGTATTACAATGATACATTAATTAAACTTTTAATACACGTATAGTGTATGCTTTCATATTTTCTGTGGTGTACATATTTTTAGAGGAAAAATTGGAAAAGAAATAAAAACTGTTAATTTAACTCTTTTGAAATGTTGTTTTATATGTATTAGTTGTAAATGATTTTGGTTGAAAAAAAAGGTAAGATATTTCTAAACGAATTGGCAGCTATAATGGAATAGAGTAATAATTACTGAAATTATATAACCACAGTTCAGAAATTACTGAATTTTCTGCATAAATTACTTTGCACGAACGTAATCGAAATTTGTGTTACCGGTTGCGTTTAAAGAACACAAAGCTGATTTTGGGGAATAGTTATGTTTTTATACGCTAGAAAGCTCTCTCTATAATATTTGCCTATAATCAAGAAACTAAAAATATTTCGAAAATTTAAATATACATATAAAGCCGTATTAGGTTTTACCGATGTAGCTTACATATTTTATATCATGTAATACACTATCAATTCATTAGAAACTTTTAGTTTCTTGAATTTAATTAAAAAAACACAGTACACAGCTGATTATTTTAAATCTAAAAAAATGTATCCATTTGCGCATCCTTTCAATTAAATTTTAAGCCTATGAAAAATTAAATATTTCACTTTGAACTTTAAATGAAATTGGATTTCAGCCGTAGAAAGTTATAAAATACTGCAATGCAGCTTTGTTTTGAGTCCAAACGTACAGAAAAATCGCAAATAATTATAAGACAATATAGTTTAATATTCAAAACAAATTTGTAAAGCTGAAAATATATTCAAAAAGCATGTTTTCAACATTAAATACCCAAACGCAATATAGTAAACATCTCAGTAAAACGAAGTGTAAAACAAAATTGGTTTTCCAGTGAATATAAAGCTTATGTTTGCTCAAGAAATGTATAATTAATGAAGCAATAAGGTCCCTTTTCTTTCTTCAATGAATTTCTAATAATTCTATGAGCAGTGCTTTAAATTCCTTCGAAGAATTTCCCAGTTTGCTCACGCCCAACTGTTTAGCAAATGTTGTCCAAAATGGCTGTCTGTAAGATTAATTACTTCTTGTTTCTGAGTTCAAATGAAGGAGATTGGAGCTTTCCGTTCATTTATAGGAAATCGTCAAGTTTTTAATTGGTCCTAATTTTAATATAATTTTAGTAAAAAGTTTGAAATATCACGAAAATTACAGCTCTGTAAAATGGGTCTAGAGGCAAAATGGCGTAATCCATATGTAAGCAATTTCTTTTGCCATTTATATGCAGTTTAACAATACGTTACATGCTTTAAGCTGTTTTCCTATTTAGGCTTAATGAACAGCTCAAATGCTTTAATGAGAAATTTAAGTGAAATCGCAGATTTGTGAATGGCAATGAACATTAACATTTAAATAAAACATTTTGTAGGCTACACCATTTTTCTTCTTTTTCACTCCTAACAAATTTAATTTAATTTGTATATAGAGATAAAAATTTAAATAATAATCATTAATGACTTAAATAATAAATATAATAGTCGCCGAGCAATTAATATCAATGGCATGACTGTTACCGACAAATTTCGATGTCATCGTGATAATAAAGCTTAAAATTCAGCGGCTACTAAGAAATTAGACACAGAGACACAAAAGAAGCAAAATTGCGTCATTCGAATTGCTCAGTAATATTGTCACAAAATTCTGATTTATGAAACAGGGCGAGAGAAAAAATTTTAAACTGCTTAAAAGCCTAATGTTTTCTAAACTATTTTAAGACGCTGATGAATTTGTCAACAGACTAGAAAAAGAGGAGGAGACAAGAATGAAACAGGAATAGTCGTATACTTGTAACCATCAACTGCAAAAGCATAAATGAAAATTATATGATTATGAGATGAACTTCAATCTTCATGTAAATGAACAAGGGACGAGCTTCATGCTTCGTATAAATGAGTATGAAGTGAAATTTATACCTAACGCAGCTGAAGTATTTCCGAAGCAGGAATATAGAAAAATAACTAAAATATTAAATTTGCTCATGCATGTTGTTTCTTTATTTCGATATTTCTTTAAAACTGATTACGTAAGCTCAAGTCTTATTGAGATTAATGTATACAATATGTAATCTAGTATATTTTTAACATTTCTTTTAATATGTTTGTCTTCTACACATCAGCAACACATTTTGGAAGTAAACAGAATGTCAAATGAGTAATCTATGTAACTTGTATTACGTATGTCGTTTTCTATTTTTACTTAGTCTTACTCCTGCACTTACGAAGAAAGAATAAGAATAGTAAAAGCCTTAAGAGCAAATAGTAGCAGACTGCTCATTTTTATGAAAGTACAGTAAACGAATTATTACATGATTTTATGAAATAGGGTTTCGGTCCCGATTTATATTGGGCTTCTTAAATAGCATTGCCAGAGACAAACAGTTGAAGCTACAGTTTGAGTTAAAGGAATAAAATTCATTTCTAAACAAAGCATTCCCTTATTTTCTATGAACTTGATTTTTTTTATTTACAAACAACAGAGTTCAAATATGTATCTTACTTAAGCGTAATAATTTTTCCGGCTTCAGCATGAATGTAAATAATTGAATGTTTTAAGAAAAAGCTTAGAAACCTCCTTAGTTCAGTCCCAATCATACAGGACGGGGACGTATTGTTGCTCTTGTGACTAATCTCACTTTTCTGACGTAATCAGAACCAGGCGCACAAATTTTATCGTGGCAATAAGAACAAGATTGGGTCAATCGTTGGCAACAGCCTTGGGTACCACATAGGTGACAGTACGATTTTGCCAGTTCCTCCTAAATTTTGATAAAAAGCACCCCTGTTTCGGCGGTTCAAGGATCTTCAATCCCTCTTCCCTTACCAACAAACCAGAAGAGAGTACTTTCGGCTCGCCATATATTTAAGAGTGCCCCCATGCTACAAAGACACTATACATTTACAATATCCATGTCTTCTTCGGGATTCGAACCCGGGCCCTTCGCTACGGTAATCAAACTAACCACTGTTCTGTTGGACGGTTGGATGGGAATGTAATGTTTGCTAGGGAAACTGCTGTGCAATTTTTTCTTTTAATGAATGCAATTTTAAAAATGCAGTACAAAATTCTGAACATATATATAAATCAGAGATCAATCACATAAATCAGTGCTGCACCGATTAACTAGCTTTAGCCCTACCTAGGGCAGAGAAGCGCACATTTAAGTTAGATGATGAAGTACTGTGACTGCCAAAAATTTAGGACACGTCTGGCTCTGCTGTAAAAATAGTAATATACGCAGATTAAATTTAAATTTTTAAGCTGTATTTTTAATGATATTTTAAGTCTAACATATACAAAATTATACATAAAATTTGTCTTTAAATAATAATTTAACAGTTAAGAAAAATTTAGTCAACTATGCAAAAATAGTGGTCTACAGAACTCTTGGGGTGTGAAGGATAAACCGCGGAAAACACAGGAAAATGTTTAACTTAATTTATGGGTCCTTCATTTGTAGTAGTACTTGTAGTAGTTTGTCTAGTACATTGAGCTTTACAAATGTTTTGGGACTGAGTGAACTATATTTTTAACCTTTTCACTAATATCATTCCATTGTTCTTCTCTTACCCTTTTTCAATTCCTCTTTTGATGAAATATTATGTACCTTAATTTGTACCTTTAATTTCGTTCCAGATATGCTCAACTAGATTTAAATCAGGAGATTAGAGAAGTGCTTTTCTAGGCAGTTATTAGAAAACCCTTGTAGTAGTTTGTTAAAAACAACATTCGCTTGTACTACATCCATAAGAAATGTATTTAAAGCGATGTGTATCTTGAAAGAAAGCTCAGTATTTTCTGATACCAAAGTTTTATGTAGACGTTCTGTAATAAAGTATTCAAAATTTTATGTTTTGATGTTAAGCCTTCACTTGAATTTGTGTTTACTATATTTAGATGGTAAGGTGAGATAATAAATCTGCTGTCTATCTATACTTTTCTATTAGCTGACATTTAAAACAGTCCTACGTTGTTCTGCTGCTGGTCCTTAATACCATAGTAGGATATCTCCGCCCTGTATTATACTTTAGATATTAAGTACTTTGGATTCAATTCTTCATTTCTCCATTTCTTCTTCTCCAAACAATAATGCAGCATTTGAAAACAAATATAAGCTTATTATTATCAACGAAGATGGCTTGATCTCAGTGTATAAGTTTTGTTTACGATTGGTTTCGAGTCGTTTATTTCTATACTTACGAAAATTGTTTGTTGCTGGAAGATCTTCGTATCCGGTTAATGTAACATTTGTTTTTTCTTTTTTGATTGTTCCAGAAAACATTTATCTATCATTCAATTTTTCAGAAACTTTCACAGCTCTGAAGTGTAGATATCTTCAAATTTTTCAGATTAAAAACGCTGGTCTCGAAGAATAAACGTAATGAACGATCGCTTTCGATTTTCCTATTTAGAAGTCAATTTTTTTCTTTCAATCATTTTTAGACGGGGAGACTCCCAGGGACATTGCGATAGTTTCTTGTCGCTCTCTCCCTGTCATCAAGCTCTTGAGTGGGCTCTCGGCTTCCTCATGCCGTAAGGACAGTATACGCTTCTCGTATTTGAAAGCCGGACAAAACTACGGCACCCGCCTTCTCTTTCACCTGGCCAACATGGCCGTTATTGTTAGGTTCATATTTTGATGCATTTTATACATAATTTTGTAAAGAATAAGTTAAAGATGTCGTTTAAAATAAAATTTCAAAATCTATGATGTCTCAACACATTTTCGTTATTTAGGCACGGCTCTGTTTGACAGGAATCTGATCCCTAAGGTCTACAACAAACTTCTCCATTTCCATATGGACCGCCAGGGATTCGTAGAAGCTACGAGAGGGTCTACAAGAAGAAATTTTATTTCAGGCGTCCAAAATATGGACTCGGGGTTCATGATAAATATTATTAATAAAATAACTTAATAATAATAATAATAATGATGAAATAAAGCAGTACCATAGAAAAGCCCAGAAATTTGCAGTTAGAAGCTACTCTTATTTACTTTATAACTGTTCAGTCAGAGGTAGTCCTTTCATTCTGTAGTGTAATCGATATGGTTATAGTTCAATTTATTAGTTATGTTATTATTAAAAGTTATTATTTTCTTGAAACGCGTTTCCATAAGTACCTCTTGCGATTAACAAAAGCGCAGCAGCAAAAGCGCCTTTGAGAAATAAAATATTAATTCTCAGTCCATTTTTTTTAATTTTCATATTTTTCAACCTTTATTTTATAATTTCCTCTTCAGGATTCAATAGTTGTTTATAAAGTGGAACATAATTAATTTAAAAAATACTGTGTTATTGTTAAGTACAGTATATTCTTTAATTTATGATATTTAATGTTATTTGTTAAATACAACATGTTAATTTGTTGTTAAATAGGATATAGTATTTATTATTAAATACAATAAATGTTACCTTCAGTGTATCAAAAGTGCTTGTTTTTCAATTTTTTAAAATTTTAATACCTTTGATTTCGTGATGTTCGGATACAACATATTTGTTAATTCACAAATGAAATTAATTTCCTAATATGACGCGCATTTCTGTGAAACCATGTCAATTCTGATAAGTATCCTCCTTCCATCAGTGAAGGTAATGAAAGTAAAAAGTGATCTGGCGAATGCCTTGTTTTAATTTTTTCTTGGTGGATGTTCGTTGTAGTTTAGATGGTTTCTTTTATCATGCCAAAGCACGCTAGGGCTATACGTCTAAAGGAAGAAATGCCTTCGTGAAGAAATTTCTAAGGGAAACTGGCTCGTGTACACATAACACATGTTGAAAACCACGAACTATCCATGCAACCAGACCGTTTGCCTGTTATCGGACCCAGGTGGAACTACCAGTGTTCAGTGTCTTTATTTCTCGGCCTGCTTTCGGGCTCTCTTGAAGTGTAGAATATTTAGTTCTACAGTGTTAAATTGAAAATTATTTAGTCTTTGAATTACGGGATATTCGTTCAATCTTATTTAAAGCAAAATTAATCATAATGGTTTGGCATCAATCTTATCATTAAATCACTAGTCTCCGTGTCTAAAAATTATCTGCATTAACAAAATTAATCATTTACGAAATGTTTAATGAAATTCAAAAGACATTATAAGTTTGTGGATTTGAGATTTGTTTTACATCTTGAGTTTATGGTAAGATCATTCTTTAGCTTCTTGAGAATTTGATTTAGTTTTTAGTTAATTACAACCGACGTTCCTTTTAAGCTGCTCGTATGCTCAATCGATCTCTGATTTTTACTATATTGCTCAAGGAGTTTTACTTCCCTTTTATCAAGACCTTTTATAATGATCCAAATAAAGTAAATGTCTTTACCTCGCAGAAACTAGTTTTAAAACATTTCTAACATTCATATCCCTGCTAGTACAGTTATGAAAAAAATTAGAGGATACATTTGTTAAAACTTCCAGACCTTTGTTCAATTTTCAGCTTATGTGCACTCTGCATTTTTTGAAAGTACGTATTTCTGGACTATTGAAAGTGATATTCTCTATTTCTGCATCTTAAAATCATTTTGTTATCTCTGATATCGTAAGTGCTGAAGTGAATATCCCCTTATACGATAAATAATAATTTCATATTGTTTTCTTATCATCAAATATCATTATACAGTTTTTAATGTAAATTTGGAGATTTTATGCAATAGTTCTACATTTTCATTGAGTATTCGCTAATGTTACGCTGATTTTCAAATGATTCATAGTAGTAATGCTGTAGAGCATTGTTATTTTAGTCGGACTCCGTCGTATAGTTATTAAGTTATCGGAGTGGAAAACGGGAAAAATCCAGTTATCGGAGTTCGAATCAGAGATCTTTCGACTGCTAACCTGTCGTACTACCAATTAAACCACAAGATATCGCTCAGGGGAAAGCGATAGTTTCAGAATGTCTTATAGTGAATATTCTAACAACACTTCCTATGATATTTCCTCACCGTATTTTCTTATAAAATGAACTAAGCTCTAGTTTCCTTCCAACGAGCAAAATGTTATAGAAAAGGAGGTGTAAATAATATATAACAGTGCATTGCATATTTTCCTATTTGAGGTGAACAACTTAAAATTGTATCTGGCGATCAAAGAAATGTCGACGGGACACAACTTAGCATCGAATAAGATATGAGATGCAGAACACATGATTTTAAAACTCAGAAGTTAATTGGAGAGAATGCTATAAGTATCTGCACTATTTTGGACAACAATACGCATTAAATACTTGTTACAAGTGACTAAATTTTATTTTTTCTTGTACATATTTAAACAAATTATGCTTTTCAAAAACTGAAATATTTTTATTTCCATAAAACAAAAAGAACACTCTTATTTCAACGAAACTCTTTAATCGACGTTCACAACCCATTTCTATTTCAAGTAAAATAAAACAACGAAATTAAAATATTATTTACGTAGGCCGAAAAACCTCAACACATAATCTTGTTTTACTTCTATAAAGAGAGATTAGGCATATCATCACCGCAAAGTGTAGCGTGATTGGAAAGAAAAAAAAAAAAAAAGGAAAAAAAACTTGCTATGCCCAGTAATAATTCGAGAAGCAAATAAAGGACAGGCCTATATATGTATATATGGAAAGAGAAAAAGAGAGAGAGCTCATTGCTGTTTTTCTATTAAAATTCCTATATTTCTTTTAATTATTCTTCGTATTATGAAAGCACGTTATAAATATTATAAATATAAACATATCATGCAATTTTTATTTGCACTAAGTACTTTAACAATCTCCAGGAATTAAACATTAAAAAAAAATTCAAGTAAATTTTAAAACAGTTAATTCACATAAATTTTAAGCTTATTACTTTGTAGAGTCTATGTCTTTTTGAGAGCATTCACAGTAGACCCTACGTAGAAGACTGCGTAGTGAATTCTCACTATATCTTGAAGAACAAACACTGCAGAAGAAAGTTTTAAATAACCTTTTTATTTGGACTAAGTTTAACAAGATGCACTCACTGGTGCTCACAATTCATCATCTCTCGTGACTAAATAAAATTGAACTTAAAATAAAAATGTAAAATCACATTAAATTGAGATGGCTAAACGACTGGCTGCTTATTTATCTAAATCGCTAAATCGGCTGCACAGCAAAGCCGAGCCTAGAATATCAATATAATCTGTAGAGAATGGCAGACACCAACTAGAGAGCTATCTCAATCAACGCAACATAAACGCGGAACTAACTCCGCTACTAACTTTTGAAACGCAGCTTAAATACTGCTTCTGAACACACTTAGATTTAGCATACTACGTCATTAAAAATTCACATTCTGGCAGGAAACTGAAACCAGGAGGGAAAGGAAAGTCAACTAAAAATAATTGGTTGAAATATAATACGGCTTTTACAACTTCATCTTGCAACATTCACTTAATTTTTGTTATTTCAGCGAATAAGGAATCTCGTATTCCTGCTTACACACCTACTACACAGGCAGTGGCGTAGCCAGAGCTTTTGACGCTGGGGGAAAGTTCGGGGGCGATCTCCATGTTTAAGGGAATGGGACTATTCGCCGTCGGGCCGCTTCGCCGTCAAGACATATTTTTCTTTACACGACTGAATTTTATCTTGCCGCATATATTAAGTTGATTTAAATTAATAACTCTAATTAGTTTTGTAATGTTCCAACCTAGAATTTGCAATTAAATGTGTAGAACCTTGAGAACTGGTAAGCGAATAATCGCTTTAGTACAGTAGATAGACACGTAAACTTGAGAAGGGTTAATTACCTTTTATTGCTCAAAATAAAGTTCACAGATGGCCCTTTCTCAGGACGTACATAAAAGCCTCCACTTGGGCTTGAACTCAAGAATACTAAGAAATAAAACTTAACTAATGCTTAACTAAAAAAGATATA